GTATATATACCAGTGCACTAATCAGTCAATTAGACTGACAAATATGACTAATTGATTATGACAAGTCCAAATACTAGCTATATATATATATATACATATATACATATACACATACACATACATATACATATACATATACATATACATATATATATATATTGTAATTGGTGTGACATGTGTGACACTGAGTCCATGTGATGCATGACAATGTGTCCACGTGACGTATGACTGTGAGTCATACGTGACGTGCGATGCTGGGTCTGTGTGACGTGTGAGGCTGAGTCCGCGAGTGGACTTGTGTGTATGATGGTGGTTTGGAATGTGCATATTTTGCATAGAGCTGGGTGGAATGTTGTAAACTAAAGACTTACTTAATGTAAGCCAGTAGTATGCACACATAGAGCTAAGTCTCTGTGATTGAATATGAGTATGTAAGTAACTTAGAGTTTAGACTTGAAAGCTGTAAAGTAGTGTAAAATGTATGGGTGATGGCGACAGTAACCAGAAGGCAACGGTCGCCATTAGTATAGCTAGCAGTTAGCGTTCATAAGGAACTAACCTGTAATAGGTGCCATATGGGCGAGGGCTAGCGTATATAACTAGATGAAGTAATCAGTCTTCATAGTTTCTAGGAGCTAATACACTACTTTAATATTCAGTAAAAGTTACATACATTCCAGTTTGGATTTGTTAGTTTTGCACTTGGAAAATGTTCACAATATATATATATATATATATTTATATATGTGTGTATTGATAGGTACACACGTGTACCCTCACCTGGCTTATTCACCCTCTTATCATCCGTACGTGTGGCACTGGTTATAGGCATCACCAATGTCATTCCATGCTTGTGCGTGTCTTTCTTTGGCTTAGTAGGTATGAGGGCTGTTGTTTGCGCGTACAGCTCTTCTATTAAGGCAGTCATGGGCTTTGTGTCTTTGGGAATGTGTCCCTTAGTCTGTAGGAACACCACCTGCATTGACGGGGCGACGCCGGGTTGGGTTGCCATGGTAACGAATAAAGCATATTTAAGTACGGACGTATACATGCGCACGTTTGCATGTATATATCTGTTCGTATAGTAAGTATTAACGCGTACGTATACATTTTTTGCATGTAGATATCTCCTAGTCCAGTAAACGTTTACGACTATGTGTATATACGTTTGTACCTGTTTGTACAACTCGTGCACAAAGTATGCGAGGCATTGCATAGATCCTGGGTCTATCAGGCCGTTCTCGTCGACCAATAAGATGGCCGCAAACTCCTGAGTACGAGCTAAAAATAGAACCAGTTGGAATGCGGCTGTGTACAGCGAATGGCGCTGAACGACCTCTGAGACGGAGTCGTTGCATAGCAACCGAACCAACACACTACGGATAGCCTGTGAGTGTAAGGTTATGTGATACGGACAATAGGGTGCTAAATTGAGTAAGTGCAGGGTTTTAGGGTTTAGGGTTTGGATAGTATTCAGCAACAGGGATATGTGATATAGACAGTAGGGAGTTATATTATTAGGTCTAGGGTTTACATCATTGAAAATGAGCAGTGAGACATATGTTTATGTGATATAGACAGTATGTGTTATCTTAAGTAAGTGTAGGGTTTTAGGGTTTAGGCGTTGAGATTTAGGTATTATTGGGGTTAAGCAGTGTGAATATACGTAAAGAACGGCATAACAATGGAATGGAGAGTGGATAAGAACACATGGCAGAGTGATCCGTGGAGAAGAAGCAGTAAAGGGACACGTACAGTACAGCACAACAGAAAATGAATAAGTACGTCGCACAGCAATCGTGCCTATATATATATATATATTATATATACATATATTTAAATAATGTATATATATATATATAATACATACATACACACACACACACACTCTCTCACTCACACAC